TTAAATATTGGTTTATTATTTGTGTTCTTGTGTTTGCCATTAGTTACAATTTTGGTTTTGAATATTATTTGCAGGGATTATTCATGCATGCATTTTTTAACCGACTTCAAAAAAGGAGGAGGTTATCAATTCGTCGCGATATTTTTTTTTTATGTATGTTCAGCGATTATTCTTTAACACGGTGTCCGATTTCAATGATTCTTTTTTTGTTAGAAAGGGGGTACTTCAGGGGTGGTCCCATATATATTTGGTCAAAATCTAATAATTGAGTCCATGAGAAAATCCTCAAAGTCTTCATTTTTTATGTATGTTTAGCGATAATGCTTTACCACCTTGTCCGATTTATATGATTCTTTTTTTGTTAGTAAGGGGGTACCTCAGGGGTGGTCCCATATAAATTTGGTTAAGATGTGGTGATGGCATCTGCACGTTTTTGAAGTCGGTTTTTTTAAATTTTTAATTTCTAATACTTGTTTATACATTTTCTTCTTTTTATTGATTTACTGAATCGTTGAGAAGATAAAACTTGTTGAAATTTTGACTAAATATTTTTATGAAAAAATTTTCTTTTGCTTTTTTAATGCACAATCTCTATGTAATAAATTTGATGAATTTAAAACTTTTATTTTTCGCAAAAATTATGATGTTATAGGAGTTGGAGAAACCTGGTTTAATCAAAATATTCTAGACCATACTATACACATACAGGGATACAATCTTGTAAGGAATGATAGAGTCTCCAGAGGTGGAGGTACGACTATTTACATTAGAGCGAATAGGTATTATGCACACTGTTATACATTTAAATTATAGGGATTCTGTTGAACAATTGTGGGTAAGTTTCAAAGTAAATAATCGTCAATTTGCTTTTGGAAATCTATACCGACCTCCAGTTAAAAGTGTAAGTAGTTTTTTAATAGATTTTGAGAAAATTTTAGCCGATATTTATACAAAATTTGATGAAATTATTTGTGGTGGTGACGTGAACATTGATTTTTTAGATAGTACTTGTAATAATGTAATAAAATTTATTAATTGCACTGATTTATTTAATATGCAGCAAATCATAAATGAACCTACAAGAATTACAGCAACGACTGAAAGCCTCATTGACATTATATTAATCTCAAATCAATATACATCTTACAGCCACGGTAATAATGTCATTTACATTTTTCGTAAGGGTTGCTCCCCTCCAGTAAGGGATGACATTAAGGGTAAACTATTCATACAAAACTGTACATTGTAGAAATCAAAAATCGATGTGTCTTGGCGATTTTCCTAACAAGACTCCAGTAACGAGTTAGATAGGGGTGTAAGACTTATGATGTTCACTGTATATATCATCAGATCACCAACTTGTTTATTGTATATTAGATTTTCAAATTGATGGAGGTGACGAAATAATTCATATTAGAAATCTAAAAGGTGTTGACAGGAATTTGTTGCAAAATTTTTCATATGCAGGACATTAATGATAAAGTTTCGTATTTTAATCATTTATTAACTGGTCTATTTGATACAATCGCTCCCGTAAGAGAAACGAGGCTAAAAAACCTAAGCCTCCTTGGTTTACAGACAATATTAAATTACTATTAAGAGATAAGGCACTCAGCAAGTATAAAAAAACTAACACATTATGAATATTACAAACAATTAAAAAATTTTACCACGGTGGCTATCAGAAATGAAAAAAAAGGTTATACGAAATATTGCGTTGATACATTTGGTAGAAACAGTCGTGTTATGTGGCAAAAACTTAAGAATTTAAATATAAATACCAAACCTTCAAAATCCAAGTTACCTGCAAAATCCAAGTTACCTGAAAACCTAAATGTTCCTAATGACATTAACAATCACTTTTTATTGGCATCTGGCAACTATGCCGAGGCTGATAAAGATTGCTACTTTTCTATGGTAATAATCTTAAAGACAACTTCCGTAACTTGCTAAGTTTTTCGACAGTTAATCAAAATACTATTTATAAGTATTTAAACGAAATTAAGACACAGGCTATAGGAATCGATGGTTTGCAAATTAATATGCGTCTTATGTGCTGTCCGTATATTTTAATTTTCATTACGCATATTATTAATTCCTGTAGGTATAAAGAAATCTATTTTTCCAGACCTTTGGAAAGACACAAAAGTTTTTCTATTGCCTAAAAAGAATATTATTAGTAGTTTTAGTGAATTACGGCCCATTTCAATCTTATCAGTGCTATCAAAAGTTTTGGAAAAAGTAATTAAACATCACATTAACAATTACAATATTTTGCCAATCAGCCAATCTGGTTTCAGACGTGGCTACAGCTGTACTTCAGCATTATTAGAGGTTACTGATAATATTTTTAGGGATATCGACAGAGGGAATACAAACGTTTTAATACTTCTAGATTATACAAAAGCCTTTGATACAATTAACCACCAGCTTCTGTTCTGTATTCTTCATTATGTTGGTTTTTCGCTTAAAGTAAAAGACTTTATCAAAAACTATCCTTCTAATCGATCTCAGTTTGTTTAAACAATTCCCTGTAGATCTGATATTAAAAATATTGCTTGCGGCGTGCCACAGGGCTCTATTTTGGAACCAATTTTGTTTTGCATTTACTCAAATAATATTAGTTCGGCTCTTACCAATGGCAGAGTTTATATAGATGCAGATGATATGCAAATAAGGTTTTCTTTGTCTGATTTGAATGTTACTGTCACTAATGAAATGATTAACACAGAAATAATAAAAATCATAAATGGATTAACAGACATTAGCTAACTGTTAATCCCACAAAAACACAAATACTGGTATTTGGTAAAAATAAAAAATAACTACAGAGCAATTATCTGTGAGTATTGATGGTGTTTTGGTGGCTTGCGTAAATGTTGCCAAAAATCTGGTACTTCAACTTGACACCGACTTAAAATTTAGAAGCCATGTAAATAATTGTATAAAAAGATCTTACGCAAATTTGATAAGGAAACTACACATGGTAACGTTGTATCACAAGATCATTTTATTAAAGTCACCTCCTTATCTCTATAACAAAATTACATTTCGAAGTGATGTGCATAATGTGCATACAAGGATTAGAGGGAATATATCTCCACCTCACCATCGTACTTCCAAATTTTAAGGTTCATTCTCTTATATGATATTTAAACTATATAACCTGGTTCCTCCTAAACTAAAACATCACTCGACAATGATATTTAAGAAAAAGTACAAATGTCTCTTGATGTCAGAAAATATCTAGTCAAGATAATCTTTCTATGTAATAATAAAATGTAAATTTACGTGCATAAAAATTTATATTTATACTTTTGGTTCGATTATGCCACAATTTATTTAATCTTTGTTTTTTTTAATAATAATTTGTCTACCCTATCAGGGATAGCAATTAATATCAGCTCTGCTGTCTGCTATTCCTTTTTGTGGTATTAAATTAAATAAAATGTATGTATTTGTAATACCGCAAATAAATTATTGTTTATTTATTTATTACAAAATATTGACTGGACATTTCTTTATCAAATTGACGATTTTGATGAAGCATTTAATTACTTTTACAATAAATTTTTATTCCATTTTAAATCAGCTTTTCCACTTCGTAAATGCTCTATAGGTAAGAATAGTAGAAAATGGATTGATCAGGATGTGATTTCTTCGAGTCAAAATTTAAAATATTTATTTGTCCTAAAGAAATCAAATCTTTGTTCATCGTTTAGCCAAAGCCAAAAAAAATGCATAAAGGTTTAATGAACTTATACATCGTTCGTGCAGGGTAGTTTTCCGCAAATTATTAAAACAGGTAAAGTGATTCCTGTCTTTAAGAAAAATGATCCAAAAAATATTAACAATTACAGACCAGTTACGATATCAAATAGCTTTTCTAAAATATTTGAGTATGCATTCCATTTTAGATCTTCTATGTCTACTACCACTGCTTTGTTTTCGTTTTACGATAAAATTATTCAACATAATAATGATAAGGGTGAATGCCCTGCTGTTATTTTTTGTGACCTCAGCAGAGCATTTGATTGTGTGAATCACGATATTTTATTGTCCAGATTAGAGAACATAGGAGTAAGATTATTATTATTCTTGGATAGCTTCATTTCTAAAAGGCAGGTCTCAGTTTGTATCCATAAAATCCACCAGTAAAGATCAATGCAAAAATTTTAATTCAGATCACTTGTCAGTTCAAATGAGTGTGTCACAGGGATCAATTTTAGGTCCAATGCTATTTCTCCTATATGTTAACCATATTGATTTAATTATGGAAAAAAATTCTTATACAGCCTATGCCAATGACTTTTCTATAATTGTTTCTGATAAATCTACTGAAATTTCTTGAGACAAAATGTGAACTGATTTTAACTAATGTATGAGTTCATTTTTTAACAGTCGGTAGTTGTTTATTTTTTAATAGCAAAACAACCGAAATTGTTAGGCTACACAATGTGCAAAATAAAGTTAATGATATATATTTTTCAGTTAATAAGTCATTATTGACGAACAGACACAGTAGCGTTAAATTTTTAGGCATTTTATTAGATAAAAATCTTAACTGGAAACACCATCGTGAGAAGTTAATCTCTAAATTAAACTCATTGAAGTTTCTTTTTTTCTTAATTTGAGAAACGTTCTTGAAAAAAACGCAACTATTAGTGTTATACTATGCACAAGTCGACTCCAGGGTCCTGTAATACAAACTGTACAATTTTAACAAGTTTACAAGTTACAAGTAATCTGCATGTAACTACAAATCCTACTGAATTCCGTATCACAATGCAAATTGCTACAATTGTAGAAATTCAATAATTTTGTACATATGTAGTTACATATTATGTAACTATAATATTATTCCTACTGACTCCCGACTTGTCACGACACGCTTGAGACAGTTGTTATTCAAGTAGGCGGGAGGCGGCATATTAAGTGCATCTGCTACAGCGTTTGTCTTAGGTAAAATGTCTTCAAAACAAATTATTTTTGCACGTAAAATGCAATTGTTAAATAAGATTAAAGAAAATAGAGACATTCTTTTCGGTGCATTCTCTAACAAACTAAGAAAACAAGATAAAATAGAAAAGTGGAAAGAAATGGCAATAATGGCCCAAAGTATTTGTTTACTTCTTGCAGATAAGGATTGGACCTATGTAAGGGATAGAATGGCAGAATTTGAAGAAAACTGCAATGGTGAGTAATTCTGTAACTTGCAGTGTTTATGTTATTGACTTGTAGTACATATATATTTCTAGCTTAAAATTGATAATGCGAAGAAAACTGGAACCGGTGGAATGGGAATGTTAACTGAAGTTGATAATATGGTATTAGAAATAATTGGGAAAGAGTATCCTGTAATTTGTGGGCTAGAAGTTGCTGAGTCGTTCGAAAAACATCAGGAACAGTCATGTGAAACAATCCCAGAGGATGACTCTGAAAGTATTGTCAACAAAAGCCGACCATTCAGTGAACACGTGACCCCATCTACTTCAAAAGAAACCTATGGTAAGCTAACATCGAGGCTAACATAACTAGAAAATATATTGGTGTATTTAATCAATATGGAAAGCAGCTATATTTCTAGTTTATTACTTAAATTAGGCTTAATAAACATGTTTAGAAGCTGCTGATGGCCCGTAAATAAATAAAAATACTAAATTTAACACAATCATATTTAATTTTACTATAATATACCACATATACTGGGTTGAATTTTATCAGTGCCGCATAAAACTGTCGACTAAATTAAATTTGTTTGTTTGCAGGAAAACGAAAACGAGTTACCGCAAACAATGCATGTACAGACAATACATCTGCTTTAAAACAAGAAAAGCTCACGTTGCAAGTTGAATACCTCAAACTGAAAAATTATAGAACTAAACTGGAAATACGAAAATTAGAGCAGGAACTCCAACTGCTTATATCTGAGTTTACGTCAACGTTACCACAACATAATTATGAAATTGAAAATGGCAGATGCTATCAAAATTTGTAATAGAAACTTCACATACGAACCAAATAATTATTTAGTTGTGTTATTTTCTTGTTAATTTTTAAAATATAAAAGCTGTTAATTTATAAATATTATATAATATTTGATAAACATTGATAAACTATTTATAAGAAAAGCGAATATTTTTATGTTACATTCATTTCCTTACTACAATAATATCAATTTCTCCCAAAATAATTGATGAGTTCTTGTAATCTAGCTTGGGCCCCGGCAGCAGGTGCATCATCTTCGCGATTTTCATAATTTTCTGCATCTAGGGCGTCTTCGTCATCTTGTAATGCAAAATCTTCTGCTTCGTGATTATTTTTTGAAATATTACAGTCGCGCAACATTTAAAAATATTTGCGGCAAATACGGGATTGACGTGTAGATGATTCAAACAAGGAAATTTTTCTTTTAAAATACCGAAAGCATTTTCAATAAATCTTCTTGTTTGTTTATGTGCCCTGTTAAAATTATACTGGGCTGGATTTAACGGATCTTTATATGTTGGTGGAATCAATCACTGCTTCAGCGGATAAGCGGAGTCTCCTAGAATTACTGCATTGGATGAGGTCTCCAACCATTTTCCATTCTGCGTAGTGATGCCGCGAGACAAGACGAGACGAGAGAGAGGCCTTTCTCGTCTCGTCTCGTAGGGCGAGAGAAAACTGTTCTCTCGTCTCGACGAGATGGCGCTTCTCTCGCTCGAGAAAGCCATTCTCTCGTCTCGTCTCGTTTCTCTCGTGATAAAAACATATCAAATTTAAATTTGGAAGAGATATACTTAGGACGAAATATAAAAAAACTGTAAAATTTTGAAGATAATAACAAATAATTTTTCAAGTAATTTGTCTCATCAGTACCCAAATTGACAATAAGAAACACTTAGGGAAATTTTCTCTCTGCCTGTCCGTCTGTCACAGTCGTTTTATTTAGACACTATTTGACATAAACAATTGAAATTTAAAGTAATCAGTGGCCAAAATTGGGCGTTAACTAAGAATGTTTAGCAGAGGAAGAAGTTGGAAAGGCTTTCGGTAGGTGGAGAAGGGGTAAACGTCAAACCACGTCGAACGAGAATTTTGCAGTAATGTTTTCCTGCCAGTGTCGTTTCAAAGAATAAGAACTGGACAATCGCATTTATTTATGGACAATAAATTATTATTAAACATGTATTATAATACCCAAATCATAATTCTACAAAATTTCAACAGCTATTCACAATTTATTAAACTATTTACTCGAAATTGTTATTAACATCTAAAAAATAATTTTGTACGCCAATGTATCGCGTCCACTTCGGTTAGATCCGCCGCAAACCTGTCAAGTTATGTGTATGAAGTGGGAGAACTAGCAAAAGCCTTTCCAACTTCTGCCCCTGCTATAAATACTTTGTCTTAGAAGTCAGTTGGGAGGGGGTAGGATTTCATTTGGAAGTTAGAATTTTTTTCGTGTGATATTAAATGAACGCAATTTGAAGCATGTCTATAATATATTATACGTTCGTTTCTTTTATTTTTTCTTTGACAGTTTTTCGAAAAAACACTTAAAAATTATTGTCTTTCTAATTTATCTCCAAAAGTAACCTCCAAAAAATTTGACTGCATGGAAATTATTACGATTCTGTCCGTTGGTTAGTTTTTTATACAAAGAAATTTCTGATGGCGCTTTTGTCTTGGGCGCTTTTGTCGGGAAGCGCATTTGTCGGGGCGCTTTTGTCGGAGCGCTTTTTTCGGGGCGCATTTGACGAGTCACCATAAATAAAAATCATGCAAGCCGTTTCTAAAATAATTGAGGCGTTCCATACTTAAAACTCGCTGTGTATATAGAATAGGTGTTTTATAGTTAACTTTTTGACTATCTGGAAATCAGATATTTTTAAATTTTAAGTTACGATAAGTAATTGAAAATTTTAAGGAAGTAAAAAGTTAATTGCGCGAGAGAGCTCGAGAGAAACGAGAAATTCTCGTCGAGAGATGACACTCTCTCGTCTCGTCTCGAATCTTTTTTTTTCGAGAGAAAATGTCTCTCTCGTCTCGTACGAGACGAGACAAGACGAGACGAGAGACGAGAATGTCTCGTCTCGCGGCATCACTAATTCTGCGAAATAAGGAACTACTTCGCAATACCCGTGCGTCGTGAACACTACCGGGCCAGTTGGCACTAACGTAGTAGAATTTTAGATCTGGGCCACAAACACCCATACAGTTTATTGAGTGGATACCATGCCGATCCACATAGGCTGGTTCGTTAATTCTGGGAGCGTCTATATTTATAAGTGTTCCATCCACTACACCACATACTTCAGGAAAACCGGCTACTGCATGAAATCTTTGTACAATATCCAACGTATTATGGGGCCATGACACTACTTCTTCGAATTTGATTTCATTGACAGCACTGACAGTATCATGTACACACCTACACACAGTCATTTTTGATACCCCATGCATATCACAAACACCATGGTACTGACCTCCATTTCCCAACCAATGGAGAGCAATTAATGTCTTCTGTGGCGGTGTCAATCCATACCATCTAACTGTTGTATTTGCAAGTCTTGGGCCAATATCCTGAAGAAGATCTTCAAATTGAACTCGGCTCAGACGAAACCTTTCGTTAAATTCATTATCAGTGAGAAAAGCAAAGACTTTTCTTGCACTGAACCGATATTCTCTAGGCGGATCTTCATGGTCACTCTCAGAATCACTTGACCACATACTGGGGACAGATACGTACGTGTTTACAGTACGAGAATTGCTATAATACTGAGTCTTTACCCAGAGTTTTAGACATTAACTACACTTGTAGAAAATTCTGTAACACAATTATACAAGTGTTAACTTTATGTTACATAATACGTGTACATATGTAGAAATTCTTCCGTAATTACTGGTGCCGTACGGGTAGTTACAAGTTGAGTTGTGTTATGGAAAAGCTACAAGTGTAAAATTTATTCTAACAATTGTAGGACTTGTATGGCTTGTGTTATAGGCACCAGGTTACGTTATGGTGTCTGTCTCTGGGGTAATGCCACAACTATATCATCTATTTTCATAGTGCAAAAAAACATTATTCGCTACATCGAGAATATTCGTAGTCGTAGGATATCGTGTAAGGAGTACTTTCAAAAATTAAAAATTTTAACTGTGACTTCAATTTATATTTTTGAACTGTGTGCCTTCGTTCGTAAAAATTTAAAGAAATTTATCTACAATAATGAATATCAGTTATCCAACGAGACAAATTATATAGGTCCGAGAATTTATAACAAATTACCTCAAGTCATAAAGACATGTAGAAGTATTGAGCAATTTAAAAGTCATCTTAAAGAATTCCTGGTAACTAATGCTTTTTATACACTCGGATGAATTTTTTCCACATGAAGACAGTATCTTTAACTAATATCTTTAACTAATATCTTTAACTAATATCTTTAACTAATATCTTTAACTAATATCCTTAATAAATTTTTTTGGTATTTTATCATTCAGCTATAGGTAGCTTTTACATATAGTTTATTTTTAGGACTATATTCCAATACAATTAATATTGTCTTATGGAAATGTAAATATAAATCAATAAATAAATAAATTCTAATATTATTCTCTATAATGTTTGTCATACACAAAATTTTCCTAAAATGGTCCGTACTCGAGAAATTTAACAAAATATAAAAAATTCAAATTTTTAAGAAAATTGTTCAAATAAAAGTGATATTATTCTCTATATAATGCTTGTCCTATACATAATTTCTCTCAAATGAACCGTATTCGAGATATTTGAGAAAAAATGTAAATTTCGAATTTTGAAGAAAACTCAAAAACGGATAAATAGAAAAACACCAATTTTTACATTTAGGCTTCAATCCATCCTGCGGTAAAATGATTAAATTATTGGGCATAGTCGGAAAATCTGGGGGATATTTTATAGCAGGTCGTTTAGGAGAAGAAAATTCTTTAAATAAATGTTGCTATAATTTTTCAATATACATAATTTTCTTAAAATGGTCCGTATTCGAAAAATTTGACAAAAAGTGCAAAATTATAATTTTTAAGAAAATTGTTAAACTAAAAGTTGTTTGCGATATCGATCTATATATTTTTTGTTTCATACATAATTTCTCTAAAATGGAACATAATGGAAAAATTTAAGGAAAAGTGTAAAATTTAAATTTTTCAGTATTTTCGTTGGCAATGAATATACCAATAAAAACTCCCAGGGCGGATATTTTGTTAAGAAATAAAGATTTTAATTCTGTAAATGCCAGTTCACAGAGCACTAAGAGGCTTCAGTTTTAGATATAAATTAATTTTAAATGTAGACGGCGCTGCGCTCAATATTTTTTTTGTGGGAGGATCTTTCTTATGGAGCGCATCTTGTAAAAATGAATTTTTAAGCAGATTTTGTTCCATGGACTGATTTGATAAATCTAGCCATTTTTGATATACAGAGTGGGCCACTCAAAACAGTTTCACCCTGTTATTTGGCATTATTCATTACATTTATAAAAATGCTGAAACAGGTCCATTTTTATTCCAAATTAAACACATTATTACAATACAGACATCTGTCATGTGTCAACCCTCTCCCTTCCACTCTCCAACCCTTTAATTTTGTATGGCACATCACTAAAAACGTAACTTTAGGGGTGATTCAGAAATATGACTGTTCATTGTGTTACTTTTAATTTTAGCGCACTCAAAAAACTATTACGTATTATAAAGTGTGACACTACCATGTGTAGTAGTTATATCATCGAAAATTTAATTTTATGTGAAATTCAGAAATATGACTGTTTAATTTATTGCGATACTTTTAATTTTACTGTCTTCTATCGGGATAAAAAAAAAACTATAACGTATTATAAAGTGTGACACTTCATTTGTAACTACTAATTCAATTTACCACATATCATTAATATAAATATCTTCATATTGCAATTGCAACAAAATAAAGTTAGCAATAATGTTAAAAATAATGCATGACTAATTTTCAAA